TTTTTACTGACACATGATCATGTGTAATGCACTGAAAAAATTCTTAAAGTTTGTTTAGGTTAGGGTTAGGGCCTAAGCTAAAATTAGGGTTAGAGAAGCTTTAATAGTAAAATCGCTCAAGAAAAACTTTTTGTTAATACACAATAGATACTTTACTATATAATTTTTCAAGAAATAAGTAATTTTTAATAAAACAAACTTTGGTTTGAAATTTCCTGTTTGTGTTATATTACACCTAATCTTGAAATGTGATTGGTTTTAAATCACATGCAGGTGAAAATTTTGAATTTTGGTGATGATCTAGAGTGCAAAATATTCATTTTTGATACTCCTATACCTACTTTTTTGATACTGATCGACATGCAGATTCTAGTAAAATAAAAAATTTTAAAAACTTTGAACGAAGATATCTCGACAACTATTTGCTTGAATCTGTTAAAACCTTTCAGTTTGAATTTTATAGATTCATAGAATTTAAATAAAAAATTTTATCAATTTAACTATATGGTAGTTGAGATATCTTTGCTCGAAATTAGAGAATAATCAAAACATCTATTAAAATAGAATCTGCAACAAATTTTTCTTTAACTTTAAGCAAAGATATCTTCGATACCAACCTAATCCAAATCGATAAAATTTTTTTGTTTGAAAAAAATCCTGTAGATTATAAAATTTAACAAGATAAAGCATCATGTTAATGCAGTGTATTAGATGTATTAGATAAAGTAGAGGATATCTTTAGATAAGAAAGTAATAGAGGGGTTAAGAAAAAGGAAAAAAGAAAATAAAGATGGTATTGTGACTAAACAGGAGTCTAAAATAAAAGGAGGAATATATGATGATTGTAAGTTATAATTTAACATACTAAAGATATTTTGGAAAGTTAAATTTATATGTACAAGATAAAGAGGTTCAATTAAACTGGGATTAGGAAATAAATAAGTTAAGTAGGAAAAAAAAATTTAAGCAATGTAGATAAGAGATGTTGTGTATAATAAAAGTGTAAACAAATTAGAATTATCAAAAAAGAATAAAGTAGGATATTAATTAGTAAAGGAGAGTTTTAATAGGGGTATAAATAAGAAATGTAAAGTTAGAGAAAAATGGAAGTATTATTAATTATGTACAAGGCATAATTTAAATAAACAGAATAATACTTATTGTTGTTGAAGGTACAAGTAAATAAATATATAAGCAAGTGAATGTAAGAGTTGTTTATGATCAGATATTTGGTGCATAAGCATTTTACGGTTTAATCTATTAACGATAGAATAAGAAGGAGTAAATCAAGAAGCAAGTATAAATTAATTTTTTTTGAAAATTGTATAGCTTAGTATAAATAATTAAGGTATACAAAAAATATAAAAAAAACAACCAGATAAAATAAATTTTGGTAATAGAAGCAGATTGGTATAAAAATTTTTTAGTCGATCAATTAGAGTTAGCATTAAATCATATATTTATGGATTTGAGTATTTCTGCGGTTAAGCTGTTTCTTATATAATTACGTAAGCAAATACATGAGTGTATTTTAAGCTTAATAAGGGAAGTAATTTATGTGACTCGAATTGATGATGTAATTTTTAATTTATTTATAGTAATTAATTTATTTATGGTAATATTATGCATGATATAAAATAAGAAGTGTGGGTATTTTTTTGAGTCTATCGAATTAGCAAGATAGTTGAATATTTTTGGAAAGTTAATAAAAATGTGGGTAGTGATAAGCGTTTGAATAGTGATAAAAATAAAATAATAAGAGATAATAGAGGGTATAAGAATTACAAAGAGTTATAAGTTGTGTAAACCTTTTTCATGTATAATAGCTAATCATTTATATTCTTCTAAAGCTGCATTTGGACTTATTAGAAATGTAGGGTCAAAGGTTAATATATAAAGAGTTTTCCATGAAGTGGCACGGTTTATTGCAACATATGCCTGACCTTCAGCAAATACGGATTCGTCTATGCTAGTAGTGACATAGGGTAAGGTTAAGCCCTGTACTTTGTGAGTGGTAAGAGCGAATGCATTTTGGAGAGGAAATTGTTGTCTTGAGGTGGCTTGACCATTAATATAGAAGTATGATGTTTCTTTTTAAACCATCACTTTGCTTACACCTTCAGAAGTAGGAAAAATAACTTCAATATTATGATTATCAATAAGCTTAATTACGATTCCAATAGTGCCATTGCAGATACTATCGTCAAAGAGTTTGTTGTTTAAAAACATTACTCTGGCTCCTTCTTGTAAATATAGATAGTTAGGTAAGTTAGTCATAGTTTTGAATTGAGAAATAGAGTGATCAGGTTGTAATGATTGAAAGTTTAACGAGTCATTAGATTCTGAAATTATAGATTCACAGGAGGTTTGATCTAATGGTAGATAGTGACAAAGTAAGTGATTTATATTATTAGCAGCTTGACGGGTAGGTACAATATGAGTCGTGTCGAAGAATTTAGTAGGAGAAATATGAGAGTTTATTTTAGATACAATAATGGAGTAGCCTATATTAGATAATTTTCTAATACGTATTTTTTGTAGGACATTATAGAAATCTACATCATGACATTGTCTTTGGGGTGTAGTGAGAAATAGTAGAAAAAATCAAAGCCATGCTAGAAAATGAAAATGGGAAAAGGATGTACAGGTGGAAGTTGAGCCAAGTCTCCCACTACTAAAGTTGGTAAGCCTCCAAAAAGAAGATTATTATCGTGAATCTTTGCAAAGATGTCACTAATATAAGTAAATAGGTTAGCATCTACCATGGATATTTCATCAATTACAAGGAATTTGATTTCTTTTAATCTTGATATAGCATCAGAATCAGAATGAATTAGCATTTCATATTGATTACCCTGAAATCTTATTTTCAAAGCAGAGTGAATAGTTTTTCCACCAATATTTTGTGCTGTGACACCAGTAGGGGCCATTAAAAGGTATTTTTTTTTCTTAAGTGTTAAGTAATAAATTAATTGAAGGAGTATAAATGTTTTGCCTGTTCCAGCAGAGCTGGTTAAGAAGAAGTAAGAGTACCTTCCATTAGTAGCTTTACCCCATACATTACACAGAAAATTATAGGTTTCGTATTGTTTGGTGTCAAAAGAGAGAAAGAAATAGGAATTAATAGGTGGAGTATATCTTTTTAAAGAAAAAAATTGATTAAAGATCAAGGTAGATAGGTCATAATTTTTAAATTCAAATATAAGTGAATGTATTAGTGAATAATATACATCAGATAAATTATTTTTTTGTAGAAGGTGACTATGGTGAATAGAATCTGTCTCAAGAGCAAATCTAATAGGAAAAACAGATTGAAATCTGTCTCTATATAAGGTAAATCCGCTTAATAATTCTTGTTCAGACCTAACTGGAAATTTCATAATGAGATGTTGAAAAAAAAAGAGTTCACCATCCTCTATTCTGTAGCTAGTAAAACGTAAAAAGACAGAAGGAGTTTTTCTCTGAGAAACTATTTTATTCTTTTTATCCTGCATATAAAACAATTTTGAATTTGGACCGGGCAACTTAGATCTAAACGTGTAATTTTTAAAATAATCAGGGTAGGTCATTTCTTGAAAATAGCAAGGTCAGGGCAGTCAAAGTACTTGTTGATAGTATCATCCCAATAAGGAGTTTCACTATTATTATCAATATCATCGTCATTGTCATTTATGTTATATAAGTGGTAAATTGGTTTGACAGATCTTAAGCGTAATTCAGAGGGGGCAGAAGGAAGGTAATGTACAGAAATAGAACATCTTGTTAAGGGGAATTGTAGTAGAAGTATCATTAACTCCATCACACCTAATCGCCTTGCTATAATATGTTTTTTATAATCGTTAGCTTCGTTGATATTAAATAATTCAGAGGGCTTTGCTTTAGTAATATATTTAGTAATATATTTAGCAAATCCAGTAGAGGTAACATATTGAAAATTAATGTGACTACGCTATACTAATAAGGTTTCAGGATGATAAGGAACTACCATCCTGTTTTCATCTTTAGTATGGCGATAAATATAATGTAAAGAATTCTGTGAATAGTAAGTTCTATCAGACAAAGGTTGGGGAAAATCTTTAGAACATGGAATTCTACTAGAAATTTGACCACCACACCTATGGTCACAATGATGTATCTGGAATTGTGATACTAAAGCATATAACTCAGGCTCAGAGACTGGATCAGGAAGGTTAGCACAAATTGTGTTCAAGGAGATTAATTCTGAAATTTTTTTTTTAGTATACGTGAATCCATGAGTATGTATAGATCCACGGTTTTAAAATTCATCATGTTCAAAAAAATGTTTCCATTTACCCTATCTCGAAAGGGATAGATTTTTCTAAAGTTTGTTACAAATATTAGTCAGATAGTTACGGTAAAATAGGTAAGTATGTAAAGGACAATTTGTGGGTAGAGTGTCTCCATTGTCAGTTTGATGCAGTATCTTGTGTAAGTGAGGCCATTTATTCTCGGCCATAGTCATTGTATAAAATATTTGAGGAAGACCATAAAAATTTAACATAGTATTAACTTGATACTAGTGGTTGAAACCAGTTTTATTTTTATTAACCGGTTTTAGTAACTTTTTAAAAATCAAAACTGAATATAAACCAGTTATATTATCTCCGGTTAAATCTGATTAATCGGTTATATTTAATTGATTAAGTCTGATTAATCAGTTATATTTAATCGATTAAATCCGATTAATCAGTTATATTTAATCGATTAAATCTGATTAATCAGCTATATTTAATCGATTAAATCTGATTAATCGGTTATATTTAATCGATTAAATCCGATTAATCAGTTATATTAATCCGGTTAAATTCGATTAACTGGTTATATTAAATCCGATTATTCGATTATTTGATTATATAGTATTCATAAAAATACTAAAATGCCAACACATTTAAAGTTAAATTTTTGCTTGGTACGTTTGGTCTATACGAAAATTTATAATGAAGATTGAATAACACAGTGCATTTAAAAAGTCTTGGACAATGTCATGCAACAATAACTGTGCTGAATTACGTAATTTATGGCTTGTTCGAAAGCCAAAAGTGAGAGATTTATATATTAAAAATTTAATATGAGATACATTTCTCATTTTTTAATTATAGACCTACAATGACTTTGCATAGATCCTATTAAATTCGCTAGAATACCCTAGTTTTTTTTTCGTCCCTTTTGACATAAATTGCTGCAATTTATATAAATTATTTAGCCACCGTTTTTTGATATTTTCTTCAACAATAACTATAAATTTTTTATAAGAATATAAATCGAAAGTGCCAGAAATTTAACAAACTTTTGTAGGGTATTTTTTCTCGAATCACTTTGGATGCATAGCATGCTGATAAGATTGTTGTTTTATCAGAACTGCCAATGACTCCTCTAATTTTAAAGAAGTATTTTTTAAAAAAATTTTAGCCTAATTAGACAATTTGTTATTCTCTAAAGACAAAATAGCTAATCTTATCTTTTAAGTAGAATCTACATAAGTGAATTTTCTCTGAAAACTCATCATATCATCTATTTCATATTAATAGTTTCTGATCAAAGTTATTTTTATCTTTTTTTCTCGCCTATTATATGCACATTTAGATATGCACTCTTATAAGCTTTAGTATTACCCTGCCTAAATTTTTTTTTTATGCCGGAATAGTTACAAATGGTTATTGGGGCAAATTACTTTACAACTATGTCAAATAATTTTTTGGCCGATCCGGTTAAGATTGATTTTTGATAAAAATAATAAAAATAAAAGCTATTTTGTGTCATTATGAATCGTTATAACAATTATGTCAACATTTTTAAATTGCCATTCAAATGCTTTCCAACATATTTGGTGTGCTTTGTTTGTATGAAAATTTATGAAAAAGACTGCTCTTGTCAACCAATAAACCTTATAAAAAGGCTCTGAACTTTTAAAACAAAAATTTATTATACGGATAGGCACACATATTAAAAAAGATACTGTATATATATAAAATATTACTAGTTTGTGTGTATATCCAAGTTGGTGTATAGCCTTCCAAATTGTTGCACAAATAATATATCTCAGATTGTAATTCATAAAAAATACCAGTCAGGTTTTTCCTTCATTAAGGTTTTAAAATATCTTATATCGTTCATGTTAGTGAACATGGTTGTCTTGAAAACAACAAAAGTTTTTCAACATATTCATATCTTTGAAAATGCTTAAGAATCCCAATTTATAAAAGACTTACCAACACTTAAGTGTCTGTCAATTTTCGAACTGATAAGCCTTTTAACTTATTTTTTTCCAACACGAAGATGCTTTGAAAATATCATATATATTTCTATATTCAACCAGAGATATGTATATTCGATATATGGTCTTATAATACTGTAATATTTTATATTAGTTTATATAATACTGCAATATTTATATTAGTTACCTGATCTTAAATTACGTATATATCTGATATATCAATTTATTTGTTATTTTTTTGAATGTATTATTCCCGAAATCACAAACTTAACTGAATCGGCCAAAAAATCGTTTGGTCAATTTTTACTGGTGTCCCAGGAATTATAATAATAATTGTAATAAAAAAAAAAAAACAACTAATACCCTTGATAACATTCAGAGTCCCTTGCTGCTTGTCGAATCATGATCCTAGAAGTTCTGGAAGAGATTTTTTAAGGCAATTCCTATGTCTTTGGTAAACTACACTTCCAGTTTATAGGCTTTAGAATCCCGTTGGACCACATATTTCTCTGGGTTGCTACCCTTATATTTCATAGTAATTTGAATGACGCTTGTATATATAGTTTTATAGATATATATGTTTTCAATTCAATTATCAAAAAAAAAATAATAAATTGGGCAATGAAGTCTAAAGTGCTATAAAAAAAAAGCACATTTGATCAATATAAGTCCTATTAATAAACCTATCAAATACAAATTTTCACATAATGATACTCACGTATGAAATAATCTCATATCGAAGACAAGGATAAATACAATAAGCTAGTAATAATAAAAGTACATCGTCCAGCTACCAAACAGTAATCCCTTATTTGCACTGCATACTCTTAAAATTTTTGACATTATCCTGATAGATTAGCCAAAATAGTAATTTCTAATTTGCATTGCATACTCTTAAAAATTAGCTTTTGTATAAAACCTGTATTATTTTGGATAAATTAAGGTCATTTGTATAACCTAACCCAATTACCTAATTCATATCAGATTTTTCACAAAAACGGGTCTGGTGCGATTGTTCTTCCAAACTTGCATGAAGGCGGCAATAGATGGGTGGCTTAGCTACTATTTCGTCCACGATTTCTTGGTGGTTTCTCTTTTGGAAACTGGATATTTTCTTTCACGGGCTCAGGCTAAATTCCGTGGTATTTATCATTTCTTTTTTCTTTGTGAACACGAATCATGAAATCACATGATCACGCGACTAGTGGGTTTGACTCTTACACTACAGCACTAGTCAATTATTAGTTTTAAAACTAGTAATAGACAGGTAAATGCAAATTTGGTCGACAAAACCATAACTTTAATTCATTGTAAAACTAGTCATAGCCGGATTATGTTAAGATCATAAGATCGGTAAAATTCTTTAAATTAATAATTATATATACCAAATTGATGAGAAATATCGATATAGAGATTGATGCAAAATACAGTATATTCGTGAAATATGAGGGCTTCGCGATGGAATGCATATAGAGCATTATAATATTATGGAAATAGCAATGAATCTCTAAAATGCATAAAAGAGTTTGAGCCTTATCTGGCATGAGGTTTATTAATAAGCGAACGAAATCAAATAGCCACTCGTCTAATTAGGATTCATAGTTGCAATAGATCCTTACCCATATCCAGTGTTGGCAATGGAGTTCAATGGAGTTGTGAATGGAACCAATGGAGCTCTGAATGGAGCCAATGGATATTAGTTTTTTGAGCCCCATTCGCACAACTATTGAGCTCCATTGGCTCTATTGCCAACCCTGCTCATATCCTAATCAAGTCATTTCCTCCATATGAATCTCATGCAAGATACCAAGAGAAGTGCTTTCCATTTATCACACTAACAAGTTAATTACAAGGATTCGAATAGTATTTCTGAATAAATATAAATTCTAAATGAAATTAACACACGGAATAGAGTCTATATAAAACGATAACGAAAACGATAGCAATAAATTATAATTTCCTGACAAACAAAATTCAAAAAGAATATCTTCACAGCCTTTCTCAGACGCAGAAGAGTCTAATGTTATGCCATCAACAACATCAACTTCGTCAACTTCGTCAACTACAAGTCACAAGAAGAGGAAAGCTAATGCTAAAGCTTCTCGTAGTAACAAAAGCTATACCAGTCATTTTTTTCATATAGATGAAGGCAACGTTGAACATGCATACTGTAAAATATGTGAGCGCAACTTTGCTGGCTCTCGGCAAACTCCCTATCTATATACTCGCAAAGGTGGTAACACATCGAATATGATTGCCCATTTACGTGATAAGCACAATATAATCAAAGATAATTATACTGATTTCTTGGATGAACATAATGAAGTACATACAATATTCTGAAATTAATTTGTTAAAACATTGGTAAAATTCAAAAATTTCGTTATGTTAAATGGCATAATTTGAATGCCACTTAAACTACCATTCGAAATGCCATTCGACATTATCACATGATTTCACGGAAATGTATAGGGAGAGTCTCTGGACACCTATCATTCACGTGATTTTTGCACCTACCAAATATAAATCAACCAATTATAAAAAACTCTAACCCTAACGCTAACTAGGTGGGTGCAAAATTGGTAGATGTCCTGAGACTTTCCCTATGTATGTCTGTGAAATCATGTGATAGTGTTAAATGGCAGTTCGAATGGTAGTTTGAGTGCCATTCAAATTATGCCATTTAACATAGCGAATTTTTTGAATTTTAACAATGATGTATTAAAAACATAATTAACTTTAGATTATTTTTAGCCAAAATGTGATCAAACAAAGGTTACCGACTATTACAATAACACGACATCACTATGTTCATCGCAAAAACAAAAACTAATCGCAAGAAAATTAATTCAATTTATTATTCGATTCGTCCAACCTCTTTATATTTTACAAGATCCATCTTTTCACGAGTTTGTTTATGCCTGTGAACCCGGATTCCGAATTCCATGTGACAAAACTGCTAAAGGATTAATTCATGAAGCATATAGCTAGAGCAATGATCAACTGAAGTCCCTAATTAATAGTAGCTTAACAGCCATTCATTTATCTACCGACCTGTGGACAGCAAAATCTCACCATGGCTATTTAGGTGTTACGGCAACTTGGCTGTCCTTAGATTTTAAGTTCAAAGAGGCCCTACTTTCTTGTGATCACCTTGCATATCCACACACCGGAGAAGTAATTTGTGAAGAATTAATTCGGTTAATTCGTGAATAGCGTCTTGATGCAACAATCTTTACTATAGCCACAGATAATGGAACTAACATGGTTAAAGGGGTAAGATTGTTGCAAGAAATCATTAGTAATGTAGAGCGTCAGCCATGTGCTGCGCATATGTTGCAATTATCAGTAAAGGAAGGGCTAAAACAGTGTAAGGCTATCCATTGTTGTGTTAAAAGTTTACAAGCTTTTTTTCGACTCCCTAAACAGGCACAACGTTTATGCGAAGCGCAATATGAATTTAATGTAATTGATGACAATCAAAATATTATTGAAAGTCCACTTGATATTATAACTGACGTAAAAACAAGGTGGACCTCCACCTATTTGGCTTGAAAATGTGTTTTGGAGTTGCATAATGCAATGAGATTTGTTTCAACTTCGTTACTTTCTAAACAAGATTGTTCTTTGCAAAGAGAAGGAGAAAAACTGAAACAATTGTGCTTATCAGTTAATGAAAAAGAGTAATCATAAGTTTATTTAATTTTGTAGTATTAATTAAGGTAGGTTAGTCATGCTAATGATACGGGCTTATAGAAAAACATGGGCCAGGGTTGATTCTAAAAAGTTCGGGCTGGTTGACCAGCTGACCTGTATCAAATGTATAGACCATCAGGTTATTTCATGACAAAATTCTAGTGATATTAAATTATTTGGTTTTTATTCGTTTTGTCTTTGAGAATTATAGCTGATAGTCTTTATGTTAGTTAATTATCTATACAACTGAACATGTCAGAACATATCCGTTCATTACATTCATTGTTTGCCAATTTATCACCTTAATTAGCAACTAATGAATATCTGCTTTGTTGTAAACTACTAGTTGATTTTTAGTTATTTTTTGACCTGAAATGTGCTTTATAAGAGAATTGATTCTAACACTTTTTTAATCGACCCGCCCATCGACCCAGCCGTTGGACCAGGGTCAGCCTATATCACTAGCGGTCAGTATTCATGAAACTGCAACATTTTTTCGCTATGAGTCATAGCGAAAAAATGTCACGGTCTTATGATCACCGACCACTTCTGACAAGACAATTCAAATTACGCATTATGTTTAAAGATTAATAGTTTTTTGTCTTTTAAACATAATATGTAATTTAAATAAGTGGTCAGTGATTACGAGACTACAACATATTTTTGCCATGACTAATCCATCTTATTAATTATTAACATTGTAAATTATAACGTGGGCCAGACTCTTTTTAAAATTAGAATTGTTTCTTGAGTTTATTATTTTATGTTAGACCATATCCATATTTAACTTAAACTTCGTTAGTAATCCTATTTTTGGAAGTTCATTCTGACAAAAATATCAGTCTTGCCCGCAACATTATTAGCAAATATTATTAATTTTATTTCTATGTTTAAATTATTTGAAATAGTTAAACAAGAATATAAAAATTTTGATTTTTAGATTTTTCGCTATAAAGAGTATGGGCTTGCTTGTTTCTGTAAAATTTATTTCATGACATTTATAATATTAAATATAAAAACTTTAATATCAATAAGTAAACACAATACTCAACATCGTGTAAGCCCCATACCTGAGTAAAATATTCAAAATTGAAATTTTCATATTTTGTTTGACGATACTCACTTTATTAATAAGGTATTAAAAAAAAAATTTTATTTGTTTTTTATTATATAGATTTTTAAAGGATATGGTGAATTTACTGGAACCGATTGAAAGAGTAACCAGACGTTTATATGGTGCTAAATATCCAACTATGAATCTTGTTTATCTGTATATGGAATTACTCAAAAAAAGGTTTGCACCAAAGTCAGGTGAAATGGTCGATACCTATTTGGATCTGATTTATGGAGAAGATACTAAAGACAATGAGAATAAAAGTGATGAATCTGATAATGATATTCCTTCTGTCAGCACCCGTCAACATTGGCAATATGTGCACAGACAGTTTAGCCAAAGGATGGCCTCTCATAGCCGATGTCATCATAGACGAAGTATTAGAACACAGAGATGATCCACCAATACTGAATTGGAAGATACTAACCACGTAGAGTATTTGCCCCCCGTTGCTATTGATGGTTTACTTTGTAGAGTTCGAGCTGCTATCTATCTGTCATTAGATGAATTATGGGAAGTTCTAATGGATATTGCTTTAGTTGCCACATTCCTCAACCCAAGATTTAAGCATTTTAAATAGGCAACAAGTATTGAACAAAACAAGGCACTTAATTTGGTGAAAACTCTATATAACGAGTTGAAGATAAATCTTACTATTCCGGATGACAATGAAGAGAGTTTGGTGGATAGAAATTACAATGATGATGATGCTGACTTTTTTTATAAGTTAGAAGCAAGTTCTACACAAGCTGATATAGAGGAAGATAACGAAATAATGCACTATGTAAAGTTAAAAGAAATCAAAATTAATGATGATCCTTTAGAATGGTGGCTAAAAAATAGAAGCAGCTTGCCTGTATTAACTCAATTAGCACGCAAATATCTCTCCATTCCAGCTACCTCCATACCTAGTGAAAGATTATTTTCTGATGCCGGAAACTATATTTCGGCAAAATGAACCCGTTTATCACCGGACTTAGTGAATAAGATTTTATTTTTAAAATGCAATAGAGTTCACTTTGATATGTTTCCACCACAAGAATGACAATAACAGGTTTTTTAATAACTGTTAACTTATTTCTCAATACTGAAGGTTCTAACTTGATTAGTGCAGAATTATTGGCATGCTTAGTTTATTTTTGTTAAATTTTTTAAATTCAAAATTCTAAAAAAAAAAAAAAATGTTAGGCATGAACTGAAAAAAGGTACTAAGAAATTGAAAAGTTAATACACTTTATGTATGAATCTTGTAGTTTTGTTTAGGTTTTCAATCCAAACTTTTTCAATTTTGAATTGTTTTTTTTTTTCAATTTTCAATTTTAAATTTTTTTTTAAAATAACTTATTTTCAATTTAAATTTTAAATTTTAAATAAATTGATCATTAAGGGTACCAATAAAATCCTTGGCGTTTATGATCCATTTTTCCACTAAATAAATTGATCGTTAAGGGCACTAACGAAATCCTTGGTGATTATGATCTGCCTTCCAATAATAAACTTTAGATTACGATACAATATTCGTATAAATTTATATACCGTATTATCTTTGAATTACGGTTCACATAATCGAATGCATATATTTTGTTGTACTTTACATATTTAAGTAAAAATATACAGGCTTAAATAAATCTTAACATTATTGCTACTTCAAACGTAAAATTAGAATATATACTCGAAATAGATATTTTGAGAATTTAAAGCGATAAATTAAAATATTTATAATATTAAAAATATTATATATATTCTAAAGAAATTTTAATAATGCAAGCATATTGTTAAAAAATTAAGCATATATTTGCGAACCTTAGTACTAAAGTTTTCATACAACTATTTTGACATTTTTTTTTGTATTAAAGGTTCAGTTTCAGTATTCAACTAATTAGTATCTTTAATGAAATTATTTAGGGGCAACATTTTTTCATTTTGATACTGTAAGTTATATTAATGGTATCCATATTATTACAGCTGCTTTCATAATTTCTAAGCCACTCTAAAAAATTTGCCGAAGTCTATTTGGCCGAAGCCGATAAGTTATTGATTTTGGTATGAATAGTGCATAATATAAAAAGAATTTTTATGTTACTGTTAAAGCACACATTGTTCAATCAATATTATATTGTATTCGCAATATTAACTTTTTCAACACATTAATTAAATTTTCGCCTTACCCAATATGTATGGCATGTTTAATTCATACAAAAATTTATACCAAAGACAGATATTCACTTAAAATGTTTTGAACATAAGTTGGACTTTCTTAATAAACATATAAATAATTTTGAACAAATCGAATTTAAATGATCTACCAATAAAAACAAAATTTTCTACTTCAAGTTCATTTTGTGAATCTTTTTATTATATAATTAACTTTTAACTTATATAAACTTGTTTATTGAATATAATTTATATCTATTCAAAAAAATCAATACAGGAATTGTCAAAATGCATTTTTTTATTATGTAACATTCCATATTGCACGAATAGGTGCTAATAAAAAAAAAATGTTAAATACAATCAAGAGCTTGTCAACTAGTTCGAAAAAAAAATGCAACACAAGTAAGTTGAAATAAGAGGTCAAGAATTTATTAATATTTGCAGACGATATCTTAATTATTATAAAGTTCAAAGTAAAGTTTTTATATTTATAGTACTGTATATTATTATTTAAGTGACAGTAATTTTGAAATTGTTTGAGAACTCGACCCACTGAAGTTCTGCTAACATCTAAGTGTTTAGTAATTACTCTAGCTGACAAGCTTCTAAGTTCTTTTCAAATATTTTCTAATAAGTATGTTTTGAAAAGTATCTTATTTTTGACGATTTAAAAATCTTAGATATTTTTTCTTATAGCCGAATAGACTTCGGCAAATTTTTTTAGGGTGGCCCAGGAATATGAAAACAGCTGTAAAGATAAAATACTTCGCATCGTGAAGTATTTTATATTTCATTATCGCGAAGTTTGCGATAATGAAATCTAATATTCATATAATCACGGCAATAACTATATATTATGATTTAATCATTCTTATAATCAAACCATATAATTTACGCAAAATTTTTTGGGGTGCTCTTGGAGTAGTTCAGAATACTTTCTGCTTACATGACATTCCAATAAAATACATGTTGCTATTAAAATATTCATACAAACCAAAAAGTGCTCTACAGGATATAAAAAAAATTCAATAAAAATTCTTACAGATATTAAAACATGACTGTCATGTAGATGAGGTCTCAAGATTACATCGTTCACTACTTTATTAAATAATGAAAGAGCATTGGTATCGGAGTATAACAATAAAGTTAAACTGAGTGAATTCGGTTGTAATAACTTTGATTAATCGGTCAGATTAATCGTATAGATCTGGTTATAATAAAACCGATTACTTGGTCATAATAAATCTGATTAATCATATAGATCTGATTATAATAAAACTGATTAATCGGATGGATTCGGTTATAATAAAACTGATTAATCGATTTAAAAATTTTTCAACCCGGTTATAAGTTATAACCGGTTAAACCCGGTTATAAATCTGATTACAATAACCGGTTCCAACCTCTACTTGATACTGTTTTTGTTGAAAAAAAGGAGCGACAGTATGGAGATTTGAAGAGATAGTGGTAGTTTTAGTTTCATCAACAATATTATGTGTATCATAAGAGCTTATAGCGATCAAATCAGCTCTTGTTGGGTGATTCTCACGATTAACTTTTTTAGTTGATAGTATGTGGTGATGGTTTTGAAAATTTCTTTTTTTTTCTAAGGTTAGGTATGATCAATGAGGCCAATACCAATGGAGGCAAAAGCGAGGATCAGAATAGAGCAAACGTAGTTTTATATATTTCCCATAACTATCGACTAAAGGTTAAAAATTTAGAAGTAGTTTTATGTTTTCATAATGATCTTGACCATTAGGAAATAGGTCAGGAAGCATTAATGCTTCTAGATTAGGATCATCAAATGAAAGAGGTTTATTGGTGCCAACTATTAAGCTAGCTATTAGGCGACTGTAATATGCATCTTCATTGTGAATTTCTTGGGTGAAAGAATTATTTAGAATAACCAAATCAGGAGGATAGGGTAAGTTATTAGGGAGATTACTACGGTAGATATTGATTGATTGATTGGCACTTTGAAGTGATTGGCGGGCTAATAGTAGAGGAAGAGGAACAGATATTGTTGAAGAAGGGTTGTTGATGGATATGCTTGATGCATATTTACGAATAAGAGGATTGGTAAGTTTAAGCCAGTTTGATGCAGGAATTAAAGAGTTATGAAACTAATTTGGAGGTTCGTTAATATTTAAGTAACAGCCACTTAATCCAGAATACAATTGGAGAGTTCAATAATTATGAGATAAATTGATATTTTCTTGAAGATAACAGTAATTTGTGTAGCAATTTGTACTAGCAGAGCGGCCTAATGAGAATTGCATAAAAACAGGTAAAAGGTATTTTCTATACATCATAGGAACATCATGTATCTGAGAAGGAATCTGAGGTAATATTGAAGGATATCGACGCATCTTTTTATTCTTATACCCATTGCAAACAGCTACTTGCCTAATATTTCTATTATTTGTTCGAGTATGAACAGAAATAGAAAAAACTTGAGGCATAATATATGAAGTATTTTCTTCATAAGATACGCATTGTGTAGAAGAGTCAAGCATAAGAATAGAACAATGAGCACAGAGAATACAGAGATGATCAGGTAAAATTTTGGTGTCAAATTGAAGTATAAGACGACGAAGAGCAGGGGTTAAATGACAATAAGAAAGATTAATAGTTTTATTTAATAGGATGAAAGAATCAGGCATATTAGAAACAGATGGTACATTTGACAAATTTTGATTTATTTCATTTCTAAAAGTATATGGTTCAAAAATAATATTAACAGGAGACTCAATAGGATTTTCATTAGATTGTTGTGACACTTCAGCAAAAGAGAAAAAGCAGAAGGTTTGAATATTGTAATTTGTCATTTTTTTTTTTTTAATCACAAAGAATAAGAAGGTAAAACTTAAGCAATAATGGAGAAAGATTAGAGATTTAAATAAGAAATTCTACTACGCAGGTGATGTAGTAATTAATGAGAGTTCATATAAATGATTATTTAACATTGGGTGTTGTAAGCATCAACTGATAGATCAAGTTAAATGATCATGATAAAATATTGATGATGTATATATTTATTTTATTATAATTGAAATAAAAAGGTATATATTGGTAATAATGTAGAGGTATTTATTAACAGATAAATATGAAAAATTTTTTTGTAATAGGATATAAGTACAGTTAGAATTAGAAATTTAATGGTAAATTTAAAAGCAATTCATCGATAACACGTAGTATAGTATAGTATAACATGGATATGAGGAAGTTTGTAAGTAATATGATAATGGTAAGGTAATTGTTATGTAGAATGGTACTTATTCAAATACTTTATTAAGAACTTAAAAGAAAAAAGTAGCGCAGTATATTACTGTCATTATCGAGCATGATATGTGTATACGAAAGAATACGTAAGTGATATATTATAACTTTTTTTTATACAGATTTCAATTTCTGGAGATATATATAAGATTACCTAATACTCATGAATGTTATTATAAAAATTTTGTTCTTTAAAATGATTTATACGGTCTTGAATTAGTACTCATGAGCATCACGAATTAAAGCAGATTCTAATATAGTATATAATTTACCATTGCGATATTAAGTGGATATTTCATATATGTACACTCTACAAGTGCATTTATATACACTTTCACTACAACGATAAGAGCACATAATTTGATCTGTCTAAAGTAATTATTTTATATTAACTGTTGATTATTCTCTATAATAAATATCGTTATATAGTAGGAAATGATTCAATATAAAAACATATAAGAAAAGGAGTTTATTTTGCTTAACAAATAAAAGGGCATATAATCTAGATACGACTATATTCATAATTTATTAATATAAAATTTATTATTAAAAAATTAATATAATGTAAAAGGGAAAAGTAGCATTAAAAAAATAGTAGAGCAGTAAAGTTAAAAGGTAAGATAACAAATACAATTATCAGGTGGCATTTGTTAAAGAAAACAAAAAGGATAACACAAAAAAAAAAAAAAAAAAAAAAAAAGTATTAAGTGCTTATTTTTTTGCAGTGCGAGCATGTTTACCTTTAGTATCAGGTTTTGTATTCTGAGGTTGAACATGAAAAGGCTCAATAGAATCATTATCACTTATAAGGGTATTTATCTTCATCTTCAATACAAGTCGCACAAGAAGAAATACTTTAATTTGTATTCTGAGATAAAGATTCACAATTGGCAGTTGACAAGGAGAGTTCCGCATAGGTTGTTCTAGCGGAAGGAGTCCCTTTTTGGATTTGTGAAATAAGGTCAGCAAAATTAAGGGATGTAGTTTTATCATTTGAATGTTTATTATCCAACAGGTTACGCAGATTAATTCTTGGTTTTTTTTTGTGGGAGTTGGGATGTCAACGTAGCATACTTTTCTTCAATACTGTCAAAATGTATATCATGTTTAACTTCTGAAGTTACTCTTGTATTACTTGTAGTACTTGAGGGCTGGAAATTACTAGAAACATATGTCTATTCAATATCAAAAGCAAGAATATGGAGAAGTTTTTTTGATCCAATTTTCAAATACCCTATGACAGACATGACTGTCTTTTTCAAATTATTTTTTATAGCATTATATTAGTTGTTTTCATTTGTATATAATATAATAACTTTTGACTCAACATTTTTATTATTAGTAACCCCGTTATATAACCATCTTGCCATTACAAAACTTTCTCATCCACCTTGATTATCAGGAATATATGAATCGGGTATCACGGTAGCAGTATAAATTAACAAAGGAGATGAACTTGGAAGATCTTCAGGAGTGAGAACATAATCGCCTTCAAAAGAAGAAATTAGAACCGTTTGAACCAAAGTAACCTGAGGGAAAGTAATATAACATAGTATATAATGAATAGGTTTTAAAGATAGGTTGGTCATGCATAAAAATGTTGTGGTCTTGTGATGATAGGCACTTTTGATGTAACGATTCAAATGCGTAATTTGAATTACCCAGACTGTAGAGGTTATTGATTACAAGACCACGATATTTTTCATAACATGACTAAGCTACTTGGTGTATGAAGTTAATATATTAACAGTAATGATTATATACATATTCTAGGTTTTCATAAACATAATGGCCGACCATTAATATGATTGAATTTTTTTCAAAAGGGACAATTAAAAATTCATAATTAGGCATAAACTCTTTAAAGGTAATTTCTTTGAATTTGTCAATGGTATGGTTAACTCGGTACAAGGCAGTTCTGGAAATGTATCTGTCATTTCTAGTAACATTTTTAGCAAAACAAAATGCTATGAATAAGGATAACATTTTACAAATTAAGTAAATAGTCGAAGGTAAGCAATTATAGGTAAGGAATATGGTGTATAGCAAACTTTAGAATAAAGCGATAATGAAAATAGATCTGATTATATGCCTTTTACAAGATCTCTTTATATAGAAAAGAGGACGAAATGAAATTAAGTGGGAATTTATCCAAGAAATTTATGATAAGTGATTATCTGAATTATAGATTGATACTAAAAGCAGAAATACAGGATTTTGGCAATATCTAAAACAGTATCAACGATATTACAACAAGGTTATAATTAAATTTGAGCAAAACTAGTATTCTATAGATCTACAAACGTGATTATCGTGATATCGCTAGTGCTATTTTAAATACCAAAAATCTAATAGCTCTGATTATGTGATAAGAACGGGTATTATTTCGATGTTTAATCACGCAACAACAATAATTCTATTATTTGAGCACATCAGATAAAGATTAGTGAACTTTAGATTATTGATAAGATAAATATATAAGTAAAAAGTAAAAATCAAATTCGATTTTGTAATTAAAATATAAAAACATAAATCTGATCACTCATAGCATCTGGTTATTCATTGTGTACTATGTAAAACAACAATATTTATATTATTTTATTTTATGTTCAATAAAAATCTAATTTAATGTAATCAAACTAGAAATAAATATATTGTCGTGTTAATATTTATATTGTTAAATGTTAAGGAGATCATTCAATAAATAAGTAAATTCATCAATTGTGAACGATAGATCTTTTTAATACTTGATATTAAGGAATATCTTAATACAATAAAGTATGATTATTAGTATGATTGCTTGATAGTTTAACGTAATCAGGTTTTACTTTAATAAGGAACTTTTTATTATCATATAAAGAACAGTAAAAAGTGATCTATTAAAGCAGATTAATGATGCCTTTAAGTGCTAAAAAAGTATTAACCTGTTTATCAAATCAAGTTTTAAGTTTTATTATATTAGTTAACCTCGAGACTCGCAACTAAAATAAGGAGCATAAATTCAACTACTCTTATTAATATCAGTTAGAATATTCAGGGTACCACGTTGCATATTTCTGCTTACGCTAAAAATACCTTTTTTATTGTAATTTGATTTAGAAAGTGATTTAAATAATGAGTCTCTTACAGAAACAATATAAAAAATTAGATTTAGCATGAGCAAAATTATACACCCAGTATCCTGGATACTCTACTCTTAGTATTTGGTATTTGTGTATTATGAACAACAATAATCAGGAGATAATTCATTGTAAGATTGATTCGGAAATAAAAATTTGTATTGTTTAACATTAAGGGAGATCATTTAACAAATAAGCTTATCTATTAATGAAGAATTATAATAAAGCAGATTAATGATCTATTTCGTGTTAAAATGGGCTATGCAGATCTTTTAAGCATATAAAAATGCAATTAGATACATTAAGTCTTATGGCTTCTTTATCAGACAATCTTGCCAATTATCATGTAACATATAATACTAATAAGACCATGCATAGTATGGAATTAAGATATCTATTATTGTTATTGTAATATGTGCTGACTTGTTTAAGCACCAAAAAAATAATTATTAAACTATGATTTATCGCACTAGAATGAAAAAAAAAACTAAAGTAAGAAAGATTCTATTACTTTTAGTATTTGGTATGTTTTACAAACAACAATTAAATTATTATTTAGTTTCATGATCGATTTTTAAATGATCAAAATCTAATTTATTGTGTAATTGATCTGGTAATAAAGTTAAAGATTATTTAACAAATAAATATAATTTCAAGTTTTTCACATGTTAACCATTTCGACATAGTATACTAATAAGAAGATAATGTATAGTACGCAATGAAGACCTCTAATAACATTACCGATAATAAATGTAATATAAAAAAAAAATGTTAAAATAATAAAATGATAATAAACAAAGAAACTCTTAACATTAAAGTAAGAAGAATAAATAACATATTACATATACAAGTTGCACATAGCTTAGATCATTTTATCACAAGACCGATCTAAGCAACATAATTAGGGCAAATTTAGTAAAAACATATTTCACAAACCGAGACTGCCGGTAAAAAAAGTAGGCAACAAATTATTGGCTTGGCGAACATAAAAGTATTGTAAAAATGTCTTTATCTTTTATGATTATCATTTAATCAGGGCAGCAAAAACTCTGAAATAAAAACAGAGAAAAAGAGAGAAATAACAAAAACAGATATAATTTACTATAATGAACCGCACAATTTTCACATAAAAATAAAAAATTTTATACAATTGTGAATTTTTTACCATTTTGCAAGTGCAAGAGCAAGCACAATATCAACGTCAACATCAACATTAACATCAAGAGTAAGCACAAGAGCATAGACTATATACAATGCTTTCAAGTTCGTGATACAGCAAATTACTTTTATAGCGATGTTTTTACTATAAATGGAGGATAGTATTAGCTAATCCAGGCGTTATATACATATTTAGAAAAAATACATTTCACGAACATAAGGTCACCCACAAGGGTGTTAAATAAAAAAATTTTCATCAAATTTAGTCAAGTGGTTATCAAGATATTTTCGCTTAAAATTAGAGAAAAATAAAAACACCAAAGCTATGCTAAATTTTCTCTAACTTTGAGTGAGGATATCTCGATAAAGGCCTGACCAAATTTGATAAAATTTTTTTTTTCTAATTTTATATATCCATAAAATTTAATAAAAAAATTTAATTGTATTTTAGTCAAATGGATGTTAGAATAACTTCACTCAAAGTTAGAGAGAATTTGTTACAGATTCTATTTTGATACACATTTTGATTTTTCTCTTTGAGTGAAGATATCTTGACAACCACTTGATTAAATATAATAAATTTTTTTTTATTTGAATTCTATTAATCCATAAAATTCAAACAAAAAACAGTTTATTGAATTTGGTTTAATGGTTATCTAGATAGCTTCGCTCAAATTTAAAAAGAAAATTTAGCATAGCTTCTATTTTAATAAACAGTTTGATTTTTCTCTAATTTTGAGTAAAGATATCTTGATACCAATTTGACTAAATTTGATTATAATTATTTTATTTAAATCTATAAATCAATAAAATTTAAATAAAAAAGGTTTATCGAATTTGGTTAAGTAGGTATCGAGATATCTTCACTTAAAGTTAAGAGAAAATTTTGCGCAACTCCTATTTTGATAGGTGTTTTGATTTTTCTCTAATTTTGAGTGAAAATATCTTGATAACTACATGGCTAAATTTGGTAATTTTTTTTTATTTAAATTCTATGAATGCATAGAATTCAAACTGAAAAAGCTTTATCAGATTCAAGCAGGTAGTTGTCAAAATATCTTCGCTCAAAGTTTTAAAAAAAAGGTTATTTTTACCAGAATCTGCATGTAGATCAGTATCAAAAAAGTAGATGCAAAAGTATCAAAAATGAATGTTTTGCATCTAGGGTAGTTAAAATCAATGTAAAAATTATGTAAATAGTTGTACAATATCAAAAACATATATGAAGTTTGATCAAATCACAATTTGGCACTGGTATTTTAAAATTAACTAAAGAAATAATTTACTCTTTATTAGGGTTTCTAGGTTCAGTTCAGTTCAGTTCAGGTTCAATGAACCTGAATCTGAACCTGAACCTGAACTTCAAATTTTGCAGATCATTGAACCTGAACCTGAACTAAACTTTGAATTTATGAACCTGAACTGAACCTGAACTTAAAGTTTTGGTTTAGTCAGGTTCAGTTCAAGGTTCATAAACATATTCAGGTTCAGTAACAAAACATAGTAACCAGTAAAAATATATTTACTAAATTTTTTTTTTGTTTTTAAAATTTTCGAATTTGAAGTTTTTCAACCAAACCTTTTTCTTTACTAAGTAAACTATTTTTTAACTTCTAATAAATGTTGTAGAGGAGTGTCTTATGATCAAAATGGTAGTTAAAACATTAAAATCAGCCTAGTAGAACATGAGATATAAGTATTTTTGTTTTCACAATTATATATTTTCTTCTTTATATTAATAAAGAAGAAAGCATATAGTCATGAAGACTAAAATGCTTATATCTCGCGATCTACTAGACAGATTTTAATGTTTTAACCACAATTTTGATCGCAAGACAATATTCTACAACTTTAATTAGAAGCTAAAAAGAGATTTACTAAGTAAAGGTTTAAAAATCACAAT